AAATTTTTCGCTAGCGTCAATAGTTAACGAGTAATTTGCAAAAAACTGTTTTTTCGTTTTTCGTCAATAACTCGTAAACTATTAATGCTAGCGACAAACTTTTATACAGAAATTGTAGATCTCGTTGTCCTCTACAAAAAAGGTCCTATGCAATTTTCTCGTAGGATCAACGGTTTAGGAGTTATTGAGGAAAAACGAAATTTTTTTTCAAAAGTTCGCCGTTTCGACGCTGGGATGGTCGGATTTTGTCAACATCAATAAAATGCCAAATAATCATACGTAACTCGTTAAATATCGAAGTTAGAAGGAAAACAACTTTTATTTCAAGCATTTTCGGAATTTTGAAAAAAAAAAATTGGATATTTCCTTCTATACTTTTTAAGACGTAGCTATTTATTATTAGCATTATTCTTCCGACGTCTGATTTCTTTTTAATTATAGGAAATGCGTTTTTCTAAGGTACATAATCTTTTGGGATTGACTGTATAGTCAATACATCCTTAACGTTACGAAGTCATAAACAAATCGTATTCATTGATATTCAATTGTAAAACGCGGTTTCTCGTTGTACGAGAGCGCGTCTTGAGGTGTCAATTATTCTGGGAAGGTGAATTACGATCGGCGGTAGTTGACAGGCCCGGAAGGCGTGTCCGAGCGGATACAGGCGCTCCAAGAAGTATCCGCGCGTGACCGCAAAAACAAAACGTTGTTACACGGTGTGTGATTGATTTACCGAGGGGTGTAAACGCCAGGCACACGCCTGACCTGGTCGAACGAACCCTCCGTCCGGAAAGACTCGTTCCGTCCACGTCTGTAGGAACTTTCAATGTCCCCCATGACTCGTACACGTTCTTTAATGCGAAAATACAAAACGGATCATTTGACAAAAACGCATCTTTCACACGTGATGGGAGATAATAAAACAAGTTGGACACGGAGCAAAACGCTTCCCGATGGATAGAAGGCGTGCGTCGCCGGTTCGTCCATATCTCCGTCCAGATGACAGGTGCAGAGACCCCTCGTTAGACAAATTAAGCTTCGTTCCTGGCCTCCCGCCTCGCTAGACGCTAGAACGTCTATACTCCACGCTTTGTCCGTTCGTCTCTATCCCGTCCTCGTCCAGCCTCGTCTCCGCGTCTTCGTCGGGAGCGCGCGCGCCAACTCGTTCGGGACTGGTTTCGAGTGGACGGCAAACACTCGTGCAGCCAGCGGCGGCGGAGCCTCGAATCGCGCAGAAACCGGACGCAAGACCAAGAAGAACCGTCCAGATCCGATCTGCTACCAGATGGTCTCGCGCGATACGAAATCAAGATTTCCTCGTGGGAATCGGTTACAGTCTACAGGAAGTATTAATTTCGTAGAAGTGATCAAGCAGCAATGATATCGGACGTTCCCTGTCACGTTTTGAATAATTTATTTTTACTATTCAACGAGTATCATGTATTTCTGTGACGAGTGATCAAAATGTATCCATCGTCACGAGGCTCTCTTGAATCCCTGGGAAACCGTCGACACGGGAGCCCTTCCTGAAAGCTTCCACGGCTTCTTCAGTCTCGATTCGCCGGTGAAAATTACCTCTCCGGTCCCATCCATCGGCAGCGAGGTGTACCGCGTCTATTTACCGGCTCCCCTCTATCCCTCGCGAAAACTGGCTGCCGCTTTCACCAGATATTACCTGTAATGTCCGTCGCATCCATTACGCGTCATTATCCATCCATTAGTCGTTTTCCATGGACCCGTCGAAAAAGGAGACGCTTGCACGCTCCGTTACAGCTTCTTTCATCCGTTCTTCCTTTATCTTCTTTCAAGGGGACGCTTTACTTGGAAAATAGTCGCGATGCACTCCGAGTATGTCATTTTTAGGAAACGTATTTTCTAATTAATAACTAGGCGCATCTTGGAAAAAGTACCGATCGGATTAAAAAGGAGGGCATAGTGACTCTACAGTTAGCATATCAATGGCTGTCCGTAGCAATTACGGTCGAACCGGTAACGAGGACACGTGTTTTCCATGAAAAAACGTTCGATCTCGAAGACGAGTCGAACAAAGCGATCGCAGGAGAGTGAAGGAGGCCGTGGAGGAGGACGGAACAGAGGCTTCTTCTCTAAATGCTCGTTCACCCTCGCCTATTCATCCTCCACGTATGTCTACTACCTGCGATACAAGCCCTCCCCGCCATTAACTATAGGATCCATTCATCTTCGAGAGCATAGGTGAACTTGTCCTCGCCGCGATCTCTTCAGACACTCGATGATGCCCGCGTTCTGGCTCTCTTTGCTCCGGAACTTCAAAGCCTGCTTCTTTTTCTGAACGGAGACAGAGACAGAAAAGGAAAGAGCCAGAGATAGGAAGATCGTTTTATCATCAAAATTTCCTTTTAATCTGTTCGTTCCGCTGATTGCGAATACATTTATCGATTGGATGGAATGTAAAAATTCTACTGGATGCGCGGGGATTAATAAGGAGCAACGAGGACACAAATAATGCTCCCATGGCTCGATGACGGGAATCTCTGTTTTGCTCGGTGTGGGTCTGACGGGCGTCACCGGCAGTGCCGTGGCTAATTTCCTCGGCATTGAACCGCATTGTGCCCTAAATCGGCCTTCCCGCCTTCGAAAACCTGCCCCCCTCCCCTGTAATCGCAACCTACACCGCATCTTTCTGTTCACTCGTCGAAATCCCATTCGCACCGCCATAGAAATTGTGCCTTATCTTATTTCGTTTTCTACATTGATCTTTACTTAAACTCGAGTAACTCGCCTTATCCAATTTAAATAAGAGTTCTCTTGTTTGGCAACAAGATGCAATTAATTTTTGAACAGCTTCCAATAGGGTAAAAGAAAAACGCCAAGTACTCGTACTTGTAAGAACGCAACTTTTGATGAAGAAATGTTAGCAAAATTTGGGAAAGTTCAGAGGTTTAAAGATGAAGTGTGCGGAACGCACGAGGCCAGGGTTGAAAAAGGGATTAAGTCCGGCTAGAGTGGTAGATTTAATCGCGCTATTTTTTCGCCACGCGCGGGGTTGAAAAGTCGTGAATTTCCAGCGAGAGGTGTCAGCCTCTCCTTCAACGCCGGTAAGAAATCGTGAAACGGGTTGAGGATACGTGGAGTGGCGAACCGGAGGGATGCGGGGTCGGGGCACGAGAGAGCGACTCGACGTCGAGAGGGATCCGCCCTCTCGTGAAGGGTCCAGCCGGTAGACAGTCTCACTAATTACGCCGCGCCTCATTAGCGTGGAAGCCTGGCAGTCGCTTAAGGACACGTACGACGACGACTCTTCGGTTTCGTCAAAGATACGGATTTTTTTTCCCTTCTCTGCTTTACCTTGC